GACTACTTTATACCATTTCTCAAAATAATAAAAACAATATCCTCAAAAGCTTTTGATGAAGACCTCAAAATAGTTAGCTTCAGCAAGCACTTTATGACCAAGAAATAATATTTTTACTATGATCAGTATCAGACATGCTTAAGTATTTTGGTATATCATTTTATTATAATAAATAATATAGAGTGAAACAATGGAATAATCTCAAAGTTCAAAAATCCGTAGATAGATACCGTAACAAAATTATTGACTGCATCTCTTATAGCAATTACAGCACCCCATATACCACAAGACAAAGCTTTTGGCTGCCATCAATACTTGCTATGTTTCCGACTTCACTTAAATATGATTTTTTTAAAAAAATATTTTTAAGACAGCCTCTAGTATAGGCCATATTTCCAACATTGACTTAATCTTAAAAGTGTTTTTTTTAAAAAATCATATTTAAGTGAAGTCGGGAACATAGCAAGTATTGAGGAACACATACATGTTATTTAGTCTATGCAAGGATATCTTCCTTATTTTTCCCCCTGCTAAAACACATTATAACTGAGTATTTTTCCTGCCATACATTGAATGGGTTTTTACTCAAAGAACTGCATATTTAGAACTCCTATATTTTTTAATTGCAGTTCTTTGCACTCTGTCATTTTTCTCATCTATAATAAACATTATACCAAGCTATATGAGAAATCATCTGTTAGCTGTAGTTTTTCATCCATTATGCGTAACTTCATTTTCAACTAATCTTTGTCTTCAAAACATTAATTTTCATACTTGTATTCTTTTTTACATACTATAACCTGACATTTATTTCATATAATTTGGGTTTGGGGGTTATGGCATCATCTGTAAACAAAAGTATATCTATGCTTCTATCTTCACTGTAAATGTTCCATATAGATTTTTCTAAAAATGCATTAAATGACCAAGGGGTCATTGTACATAGTTTCTAACTTTCTGCTCAATGTTGAGCTTTACACTAGCATCACATATTCATACATGTTTTTTTCTCATTCACCTCTCATTTCGCAACCAAACTTCAATTCTGTATTTATGAAAAACCACCCATAATTCAATCTGTTCATTTTATTTATAGAACAATATATAGTTAGCTTTCTTTCTCAGATGAATATAAGTGACTTGCTGAAGAGCAAGATTCTCATTTGTGTATTTCCTTCCTGGTGCTGCACTAGTTTTGCAGTCACTCTTGCAAAGTTTCTCTTAGAGAAAATTAACAGCATGTTTTCAATTGTCCACACACACACACACATACACACACTCATATAGACAATATTACCCATCCACTACATAAAACCACAGGAACCCAGTTTCAGCAAAAAAAAATCTTCTCAAGACTAAAGAAAAGCGGTCAGCACTATAAGGAATATTTAAAGTTATAAACTTATTTCAGCCAGAAAAGAGAGAAGTATTATTTACTGTCTAAAAAGTAGTTGCCATAACTTTTTCTATTGTACATTTGCCTGTTTTCTCATTGAGGAAGTGATTTTTCCTACCATGTTTTATTTCAAAAAGGATCCATATAGCGGGAATGAAAATAATTCAGGTTCCTCTTCATGTTGGACGTTATAAAATGATGGGTTATGGACAAACAGCTAGCCCATTGCTGAATCTAAAAAGGTGATTGCATTTATTTGTTTTTGTTTTCTTTTCTGGTCAAATTCAATCATAATTTTATCTCCCTTATATGAAGTATTGTTCACGTATAACACTGCAGATCAAATTCCTATCTGTCATGTAGCTATTTTAAATTGAAGTAGAACCATCTTATGCAGTTGATCCAGAATGCAGTGGCAGAATTGCTGTGGTTAGTTGTGAATAACCAGAGCAGTTCCTGCACCATTGATGTAATAGATCAACGTAGATATTGCACCAATGCTGCAGGAGCCACTCTGGTTACCATACAGTTCAAGAGGCAGATCGCTACAGGTAATCCTTGCTTTGTGACAATTAGGGCCAGCAACGCCATTGCTAAGTTATTTTTTCAGCACTGTTGTAATTGTGAATAACTTGTCCTTTCACACAACAGTGACCTTTGGCCTTTCAGAAAGTGGAAATATGGTTCTTCTGGAGGACCTTCAGCAATTAATTTTAAGCAGCAATGTTACATTCAAATAAGTGTTAACTTATTGTTGACATTTTCATTAAATTAAAAATATAAAGTAGTAATATAATTGACTTGTATGTAAGTTCTGTAGGCTACCTAGGCTCCTTTTAAACAATTGATTTTTAAAAAGGGAATGTTTGTAGCCATTGGCAGGGCTAAATATTTTAACTAAACATCAGCTGAGTAGAGCAAATACATTTAAGTACAATACTAGTAATATATATTCTGGAAGCGTGAATTGTGGTTTTATTGGAACTGCCAAACAGAAGTGCAGTGTGGTTAGTAACTATATCATCTGACCTAGAAATTCCCCTCCATCTTATACATGATCAACTGCTTATTACTGGAAGTGAGGGAGAGAGATCCTATCTCCATATTTCAAAAAACGGTTTCCAATATTCAAAAGTAAACATTCTCTTAAAGGCAAAAGCTACAGAACACCAATCACATGGGTTGAAAGTATTGGTGGGATTCATTTTTTTTTTTACTACCGGTTCTGTGGGCGTGGCTGGGAAAGGATAGTGTAAAATCTCCAGTCAGAGGTCGTATTTGCCAATTCTCCAAACTACTCAAAATTTCCGCTACCCGGTTCTCCAGAACTGGTCAGAACCTGCTGAATACCACCTCTGGTTGAAAGTAAATATTTGTTACGCTCTACTTAGTTAGAATCAGAGAAGGCTGGCTCTATCCCTCCTTTTCCCACCTCGTTGTTTTTGCATGATAAATTAGAACATGGAGTGTAATCCCAGTTCAAGTTGCATCAATGAGGTCTCAATCAGGACAAAGGTTTTTCACCAAAAGCAGGCTTCTCTGGCTATAATTCACTTCTTTTAATTTGCCCAAATGACTATATATGATTGGGGTCTTGCCTAGATTACTTACTAAACTCTGACAATATATTTTTGCATAATGAATGTTCCATTCATGAAGAACTTCTGATATACAGTATGTCCTTAGTAATATTAATTTTTCCCCTTACGAGGATTCTTTTTAAAAATATATTAGAAACAAGTTTCCTTTTACCTATGGTTTTTTGTAATATGAGAAACAATTTCCTTTTGCCTTTCTAAAAAGTTAGTAATGCAACATTGTTTGATTTACATTTCTATATGCAAAATATTCCTGGCTTATCTAAACTGGAATCTTCCTTTCCATAGGCCTGCTGAATTGCATACTTCCCAAACCTGGAAAGACGATGGAACAAATTCCCTTGTCTTCAAACTTTTAGAAAAGAAGAAAAAACATCTTTATACACACATTATGGTAGATATTGGAGCCACTCCAGCATTACCGCCTCCAAGTAAAAAAAAAGGGAATAACACTTGACTTTGGCATCATCTGAAGCTTTGAAATGCTGGAGCTTTTTACAAGTTAAACTCACTAGGAATGCAAGAAGGGAAAGAGAACATTGCATTCATTTAACCAAATTAATCAGGAGCCTAATACAGGGTTTTAAAGAAACCCTGTATTAGTATTTGGGGCAGAATGGTTTTGCTTGACATTAGCAACATAGAAATTATCCTATCTTGTTCTGCAGTAAACCGTCAGGAGCTAGAAGCTACAGTTCTGCTATAGGAATTGTCAAGTACCAGCAACAAATCTGTCTATAAACAATCGCAAAATATCTATTGAATCCTGTGCTCTTTTCTTTTCTAAGCACAAGTCTTCTGCATAGCAAATATTTAAAAAGTTACATTAATGTTACTTATTACCAATTTTTCAGGAAATATATGAATTTGGAATTGACTTATGGGTCTCCTTTTGAAAGGTTTTTCATTAAATTCAGTTTTCTATACCCATATTTTAAGAAAGCTACTTTTTAATTATATTCAGGGTGTTATTTTAAAAATATTTTAGTGAGTTTTAATAAACATTAATTAAAAAACATTAATAAACATCTTACATAAGTATTTGAACCAATTGTGTGCTCTTTTAACACATTTCATTGGAGACTTGTGTTATTTTTAAAAGTTTGATATATTTGTGTAAACAAACTGCTGAGACAGAACAGCTGTTTATGTATTTACCATATTAAAAATATGGAATTAATGGATATGGAGATTTACCTTGTATTATATCTCATATATATATATATATATATATATATAGCTCACTGAACCATCATAGCAGCCATCCTATAGAAAGGCAAAAGTAGGAAATCTATAAATATTTAAGTAAGACCGCGGATAGTTCAAAATACCAATGTTGAATCTATTTCCCTCTGTTCATTTGTAAACAATTGAGAAAATAAAGATTGTTTGTCTTTCAAGTTTATGATGTGGTTTGCTAGTAGCCACTTTGACAATATAAAAATAATTTGACTTTGAGTAGCTAGAACACAAATTATTTTTCTGGCTCATTTTTTAAAAAAAATGAGATTTCACATTTAACCATAGGACTGTTTGTATGTTTAATACTAAGATCTCATATTCATTATCTCCCAGCTTTCCCATCATTCCTGAAGAAGTATTCTATTTTAAGACGATTCTGCATTCTAACCTTATAAAGGAGTATCTATCATTTTAATATCAATTTATCTACTTGTGTACTCTATTCAAATAAGTTTGGCAGTTATTTAAAAAATGAAAAGCACAGACTAATCAACTTCTTTTAGTAGTAAATTATCACACATTCTTAATGAACAGAAGATATTCGGATAATTATGAAAACTGAAGATCAACAGCTGTTACACTTTATTCAAAGTTTAATTTTTTCCTTATTTAAGAAAAAGAAATTATGTACCATCTCTCTTTAGAATATTATGATGAGCAATTCTTCAACTAAAAAAAACATGTTTTAAAAAGTTGGATTGGAAAAAAAAATCTTGCTTTATTGAAAAATTAACCGTTGAATTGTTCTTATATCTCATTTTAAAAAAAATGTTCAGTAGAATTCTTTACAAAGGGTTACATTTATCCAAAGAAAGTCTTTAATTCCAGTGTTGTCTTATAGCTCAAAAACATTCCCTGTATAAAGAACTTGAGTATCCACCAACAGAAAATGAAATATTTCACTGCTGTAGCTCAAGTCATTACTTTTGGGGGGTCCATTTGAATAAAATTTATTAGCCATAAGAAATGGTTATGTGAACTTAGTTTGCCTTCCAAAATCCACTGTAATATTCGTATATAAAAGATTGTATTCTTTTGAAAGCAGTTTATAGGAGCATGAATTTAGCCCATCGGTCTTCCATACTTGAGACACCTGATGCAAGAGATTCATTCTGAAGAGATTTTAATGTTGGAGGTAGGAGGAAAAGAGAAAAAACAGGTCAATATTAAGTCATATGTTAAAATGCACCTCAAGAGGCTGTATAATAAGCAATTTTAAATGTATCTATCAGGAACACAGTCCAGTCTAATTTTTCCCATCACCAATTATACTCTTCAGTGGAATTTGCTTCATAGACAGAAGAGTTTTCTAAACTTACCTCTGGCCATTTGCCTCATTGCCTTGGTCTCTGGTATGAAAGAGCATAGTGTACTTGGCTATACTGGGGGAAGGTCGGATTATTTTCATTTTCTGCATTTCAACCCTGAAAACAAAAATGTGACAATCTGTGAGTAATGACAAGTTGTGAAGTACAAGCATTATGGTAGATTAGAAAACATGATGGAGAGCTACCTGGCCATTTTGCTTACTGATAGTGACTAGGAAAGCGCACATGAAAGCAACCATGACATGAATTCAACATTCCAGTCCTGAAAAGAGAACCTCTAGAATAAAGGCTCTTTCTCAATTTGCACATTTTACTTCCCTTAAATCTAACTATAAGGTTATATGAATGAGAATGCAGCAAGCACAGAATGAGCACTACATAAATTGGCACTGAAAAGTGGAAATAGCACAATTTTCATGAATCATACTTCCTCTCCAAAAACCCTATGTTGAGGGCAGAAAAATTATTTGGCATTTTTTTTGATTAATGGATGAAAATGGATTTTGTTTTAAGGAAGGACAATCTTGTACAAGCTGCAATTGCATGTTAAGACTAATACATGTTTAATTTGGAAGAACGTATCAGAATATACAGGAATATAAGCCCTGTATCTAGCTGTAATTCATTAAAATAATATGCCTTTTTCCAGAATCATGATGCTTTGGGGAAGCGTTCATAGCAGCCAAGTGATCTTGGAAATATACAACTGATTTAATGAGTTGTAGACAATGCATTTGTGCTCCAAAGTACCTCTTCTGAATCAAATATCAAATTTGCACAGCTGAATTATATACAACAAATTCATGCTGATGAAGAGGTGGATAAGATCAAAGTTTTCTCCCTTGGCGCACCCCAACCAACATTCGATGAAGCTGAATTATGGGAAATTTGTGAAAATAAAGAATTTGCAACCTGTGGAATACATTGCTACAAGATACAGGGATGGCAATTAGAGCAGAAAGTTTTAATAACATTAAAATGATAGATAAGGCTATTGGTCAGAACTATTAATCAATTAGGTTCTTTGTACCTATCACCAGGATAAGACAACACAACTATTTATTTACTTACTGGTCAACTTGGAAATAAATTCCTGAACTAGATGAGTTTTTGATCTCAGAACTGTCTTTCCTAATCTTAATTCTCCAACTGCTGCTGCTTCTAAAGTGAAATAGCTTGAGTGGGATGTGAAATAGAGAAAACTGCCTATTAATTTGTTCCTGCATTTCACTCTGCAGCTGATTTTCTGTTTTTCAGGATTCCAGATGAGCTTTTATTCTTAACAAAATGAAAGAAAAGGCCTGCAAAGAATTGAAAACAGAGCAGGGAAAATTGTTCACGTACATGTTACTTTTCTGCCTTTTAAATTTGCCTTTGAAACCACTTTTCCCTAGAAGTACCAATCATGTCAATATATGTAATACTGCCAATAGTAAGCAGAATAATTCATATTACATTGTGGTGTTATGGAATGGGTACTAGGCTAGAACATAGGAAACTCAGGTTCAAGTCCATTTTAAACCAGGATAGCCAATCCCTGTTACTAGTTCTCAATCCATTTCACTCTGCAAAACTATTATAAGAACTGAAGGCAGGAATGCTATGTATATCACCTTCAGGTCCTAGAGGAAAGGTAGATCTCATAAATAATCATTGAAATTGTTCCTGCACATTGTATCTAATATGGCCAGTAAGTTCTGATATCTGGGCAGGCATCATGCTTTCTTAGCTTTTCACAAGTGACTGAGACTTGTTGCCATACTAGATGTGACTTACCTGCCAAGCATCTTTACCTGCCTAAAGCAATGGAAAAAAACAAACAAGGAATTTAACCAATCACAAGCAATAGCCTATGTTGAAGCCCTACACTCTGACCACAAGGGATGGTGAAAAATCTGTAGTTGGGGCTCAGCTACAGAGGTCCTTGAAAGAAGCAGATGACCTGAGTATATAATCATCTGTTACTGCATTGAGTGCTGTTGTGGATGACCTGGATGGGGAAGGGCAATCTTTGTTACTCTATTAGGCTTGATGGGGGCTTTTATTTATTTATTTATTGAATTTATATTGATATCATTAACCATAGGATTCATCATGTGACATCTACAAGAGTTGACAATTGTAGCAGCTGTTTTATAGTATTTTTTTCTTCCCTCGTAACTGTTCAATTACAGTGACAGAGAGCCAGTTTGGTATAATGTGCTGGCCTAGAAACCAGGATATGGTTTATAGTTCTAATCCCACCATAGGCATGAAAACTGGCTTGGTGACTTCGGGCCAATCACTTTCTCTCTGCCCAACTTACTTCACATGTTGCTGTTGTGGGGAAAATAGGGGGAGGAGGAAGGAGGATTATGCACTGTATGTTTGTGATTTGCTTAACACTACCTTCTTAGCAACAGAAATATTGGTCCCAATTTTGGTCTTAAGTCAAGGACTACCTGTATGAACATGGTCTTGTCATCATGGTCTTGTCCTTAACTATTCCTGGCTACAGGAGAGAGAGAATGCAGGAAGGAAGTCTGCCCCTGATTATAAAGGAAAAAAAACATAACAGAGACCAGATGTTTGAGAACAGAACCATCTCCATAGGGAGATGCTTTGCTTGTCACTGACACTGTCAAACAGATTGGAAAACTCTCTGTTGAGGATGTTTCAAACTCAACTGATACACTGAGCAGGAGGATTCAATGGCCAAGACCTTGGATTAATTTCAGCAATACTGATCATTTGCAAATTTACTAGGAATGAATTGACTAAAGGTGGGTAATGGAAATGCCCTGATCTATTTCCAGTGTTCGCCAGACAAGTATCATCTAGATTCTAGAAGCATTGAGATAATTTTGGAAGTTATAATTTCAAAACACTACAAAGCACCAGATTAGGAGAGGCTGGTATCACAATTTATAGAATGAAAAACAGACCACAGCAAACAAAGCATTCTTGATTCTAGCATAGCACTTTTTAGCATTCCTTCTTTTAAAAATGAGGACTGCACTATCTGTTCCTCCGAATGCTAAGCATTTATCTTCTTGCAAAACCCATCTCTGTTGACCTTTAGGAAGAAAGACAAACAGAATGAACCAATTCTAAATGCTACATTTACTGACAGGCAGAGCCAACACAACCAGAAAAAGACATCAGAAATTTCTGATATGAACCTGAAAAGGATTTTATATAATTGCTATTCATTTTACTGGAACTCTACTCTATATTCCTTTGTTTTTTTTCAACTAGGTCTAGTGAGATCCTTCTGTTTGGGCCATCAGAGCTCAGCCAGCTCAGAAGCCTTGCACAACTGTTCTGAAGGCTGTCTTTCATTGTCTCCCCGTGAATAGTTCATGCTCATCAGAAGCACATGCACAAAAAGCCAGAGACTGTTTGAAGATTCCTCTCTTAATTGTACCGCTGGACCCTAAAGCAGATACACTGCAGTTGTATTGTTCTGCAAATAGCAACTATGGTAGTGTGCAGACAAGTACTAGAACAAGCCTAAGACATCAGCCTACAGTTACATCATAGGTTTCCATACATTGGCACAATTTTGAATGGTTTGATTATTGTTCATCTGTTGCTGAATTATTCCCACCTTGCACTAAGAGGGCAGCATTACTTTCATGCTGCTTCATGGAAGAAGATACCTGAAATAAGCCAAATACAGAGGGGTGATTAAAAAAACAAGTAACAAGAAAGTTGTTCGTGGTCATGCCAAGCAGTCTTAAGAAAATCATCTCATATAAGTGCAGCCAATCCTAGTCAGTGGAGTGGGCTTCCACATTTTAAAAAAGTCAAGACACACTTTCATATTTCTAATTAAGCTTCCTGCAATGCCAACTCTGGTCTCGGGTTTCCAGACTCTCTTAAGATAATTTGCCTTAACCAAATGTGAGTCATGCCACAAGAAAGATTCCCGTCACCCACAATCTGTGCCACCCACTTTGCATTTGACTGAAATGTACCTGATCCGGAGGTCATCGTCCTCTCCTCCCCAGCCCCAGTAGTTGTTTGAAAATCCATTCACCTTCAGAAATTGCTCCCTTGTCAGAGCAGTTACACCGCCAAAGTATCCTTGGTAACGCAACCTATGAGCACATATGCAGGGGCAGGAAAGTTATTTTTAAAAAATGGCATTTACATATTTATCAGAAACAGAAAGTTTGCACAATTCCAAGTTTTAAAACAAAGATAAAAAAGCATTAATATCCAGCAATACATTTTCCTAAGTTTTCCCAAGAAAGGTATGGCAAAGATTTTCGGCTGTTACTATCTCAACTAATACTGCACATTGATTTTGACAATGATGACAAGCCTCTTCACTACCCATTGGGATTATAATGACCCCATTTATTCTGTACTGGTGGATTAAACTCATATACTAAGCACCTGCATCTTATCTCCCTTTTATCTCCCTTTTGGGGGAATGTGGGGATCTGGGAATTCCCCAAATCAAACCTCTTGATTAATTCCATATGGTGTGAGATTTACATTCACTAAATCACAGGATCGAAGGGGTGATTTGTCTATTTGATTCACTTTATTCACTTCTGACTCCCTCTACCCTGAAAAAAAAGTTAATGTTATATATCTTGATTTATAATAATGGACGGTCCAATGGAGAATCATATAAATCAAGATATAAGCCTTATGCATCTTTACCTCCTTCAGTAGCAAGTACAGCAAAATGAAAATAAAGGAGTTGACACCAGTTGGGCTTTCTTCAGCAGATACTAATAAGTTTCTTCAGCAGATATAAATAAGTTAGCTTAATCCATTGTGGTAATGTACAGACCCTGTGGGACTGGTTCTGTTATAGTGAGGGTTCCTTTCCCAAAATGAAACATTCCTTTAAAACAAGGGTCCCCAACCCTCAGGCTGCAACCTGTTCGAAACCAGACCGCACGAGTGATGGGCAAACATGTATGCTTGTGCATGTGAAGCTCCACTTACGCGAATGGTGGGCCTTTGCGCTCACATACAAAGCTCCATTTGCACAAATGGAGCTTTGCAGATGAGCCCAAGTCCCCTCCACTTAAGCACCCTTAGCTTATGCAAATGAGCTTCATGCACAAGTGCAAGTGCCCACTGCTCATCTGAAGGGAGCTTCGCACACCGTCCTCTCACACCAATGGAGTTGTGCATGCATGTATGAGCCTACCATGTTAAGCTAAGCAACCATCTCATAAGAATTTTGTGGGACATTATAGACTGGGGTTGCCAACCTTTTGGACCTCAAGGACCACCAAACTCATAATTTTAAATCCCAGGGACCACTAACCAGTTCTGTGGGCATGGCCTAATGTGTGGGTGTGGCTTATTGTTCATGTGACTGGCTAGGCATGGCTTGTATTGAAATATTATAAATATTTATATAAATATGGAATTTTTTATTTTTTTAAATAGCAATTTTTACCCAAGATCAGGCAAAGCAGGCAGGCAGATTGAGTTGCTCACAGAATCATTCAGTGATCTATCTATCTATCATCAGCTAGCTCCGTCTCTCAAATTTGCTTGCCATGAGTCTCTACTGAATAATAGAACCTTCAGTTGTAAGGGATGTTCAGATGTGCTTAAAAGCAGAGCCGAAAATCTAAAGACTAGCTAGAAAGCAAGAAATCCAACCATTTCCTACATCCTAGTTAATCTAAATATCCCGGCACAGCAGAATAGATGATGGTCGGAAAAAGGAAAAATAGCAATTTAGCAGGCAAGTTTGCCAGGTAAGGAGTGAGTGGGCGCGAAGGGTTCCCACGGGCCATGTGGGCTGCGCAGCCTTGTGTTTCTGTGCAGCCTGGATTAATTGCTTTCGGGGGTTGCTCTGGGGGTGAAATTTCTCTGCGGCTCATCAAAATTTTCTCACGAATTGGCGACCGATGTTATAGACAACTGGTTGAGAAGATCCTTGAAACCCTTATCATATCCATAACTTTATGACAGGAGGTGGAAATGCTGCAAGGTTGACAACTATTCATCTTCTAGTACATGAGTGTTTATGAAGGGTGGTGATCATGATTAAACCATTTGATGAGTGCACCCATCAAAGTTCAAATACGTCTCTCATCAAATTGTTGCTTAACCCAAAAGATTCAAAAATTACAATTACAACCAAGTTGTTTAGAGCAGTGACAAATACTAGGTCGACCAGTAAGCAGCGTAATTTGTTCCATGGAACAGCTGATGAACCTATTTCAGCAAGCAACTAGGAGTTTTCTTAGCACCTTACTGTACAAAGTGAAACAAGGTATAAAATGTCAAACAAGACAGGGAGTGTGAGATCTGTCCATAATTCTGTTCTGGCCAATAGTTGCCAACCCGTGCTTTAAAAAAGAACTTTGTTTTTATTTTTTATTTTTTTAATCATATTAACTTTGGCCAACAAAAGAAAATGCATGTGGTGGGTCAAAATAAGGATTTATCTTCTCTGCGTCTAATTGTGGACATTTAAGTAAGTCTTGCTCAGTTCCATATTTCACAACATCCATGATTCTTCAGAATAACAAAGCTGATTACACTTTAGCAATGGAAAACAAAACTGGGCGACATTACCTTGTCTGTAATATGTATTATTTTAAAACAAAATGGGGCAAGTAAAAATGTAAGGCATACTTTTTTACAAACACCAGAATAGGGCAGTAGGTGGCAGCAACTTATCAGAAGACAGGAAGCTCAGATGGCCTGGCACTTTCCCCTCCTTTGCTAAAAAAAAGTTGCCATCTAAATTACATTGGCACTGTAGTTCAACCCTGAATCCCAGGTAGAAATACATGCTGTAAATGCTACCAAATAAAACCAGGAGAAAGAAAGTAGGTCTGTCCAATTTCTGTCACCTTCTAGAAAGTGGCTAATACTTAGTATCTAATTATGAAATCCAGAATAATTATTATTTTTTCCTTCAGGAATCCAGGGGTCAGCTGAGCTGCCCATCCAAAATTATATCAGTTTTGGAAAATTCATATTTAACTATTTGAAACAATCAAAAGTAATAATGTTAAAAATGTTGATGCCCATGCATAAGTTAGGAAGTCACATTCTGGAGATAACATGCTGAAAAAGACAGGCTCCAGGCTGGCAAAAGAGTGAGAGATGGCTGTACACTCTCCACTTATTTATTCAATCTAAACAGTGAAAATATTTAAAAGGAATTTGAAAGAAAACATGTGTTTTTAAAGTTGGCGGAAGATACATCAATGAAGAAGTGTGTTATGATGATGATATTAATTGGGGAGCTAAAAAAGCAAGGAACTAAGAGCTATAGTATTAAAAGTCAAGGACCACAATGAAAAAAATGGAACTAAAATTACAAAGTTCAGATAATAATGAGCCTTGTAATTGACAGTGGAAAGACATAATTGATAAATATCATAGCTTCTGCCTTTTAAGATCAACCATCAACAGTAAAGGAAAAAGTAGTCAAGAAATATACCAGTACCTCGCACTTGACAGAGCAGCCATGAAGATCTTGGAAAACATAATCAGATGTTCTAATGTGTGTATGTTTAACAAAGATGAGAACAGTGCAAGCATTTATTTTCCCTACAACACTGGGTAGAAGTGAAAATTTGACTTTTAAGAAGCAGGATAGAAAAAGCATTGATGCTTTTGATCTTTAGTTATAGAAAAGACTACTGAGAAAACATTACAGGCAAAAAAACAAACAAAAGGATCCAGAATTCACACTTGAGGGATGAATAACTAGGCTCAAATTGCCCTACTCAAGAGAAGGCTGTGAGGCTGGGAAAGGTGGAAGAAAAGAAAAGAGGACAACCAGAAACAACCTGGATAGACTTAACAGTGGTAATGGGGATGCCTTTGAATTGCTCAAGGGCCAAGTTAGAGACAGGTTATCTTATAAATATCTATATATGATTAAAAGTCCACATTGATTTGATGGTACAAAATTAATCATTGCAATTAGAAAAAGGAGATTCATTCCTAAGCTTAAAGGAAGTGTGGAATAGTGATTTTGGTAAAACTATAAAGGAGCCAACATGGCAGACAATATGGAAACTAAGTGGATTTACTTCTAATTCAAGGTAGGAGCCTCAGTGAAAGATTACACTTTGCTGGAATTTTACCTTGGTTAGATGACTATACATGTGTCATATTTATTCTTCCAAATGCTGTGGAAGATGTTTACAAAAGGAGTTTTTCATTTATGGAAGTCATGAGAAAATCATACTCTTCCACTTAAAATCCTTAGCATCTTCATTTTCTTCAAATATCTTCATTACTAAAAATGAATGTACTGGACTTATTTGATTGAAAGTAAATTAATTGTTTAATTATTATTATTAATTAAGTAAACTTATTGTTTACTTACGTATAACAGCTAAAATAATAATAGGTGAACAACAGAAAACCTTACACAAGCTAACAAATGAGATATGACTCATTAAGCCTTCTTCGAGTGCCATGCTAGAGAAGATTACAGATAAAGTCAGAAAACTGAAAGGAACCAAAATTTTTCCCATTTGGGCAGATTCCAGGCATTATCTTAAAACATCTACTTATCAGTAAGGCTTTTTATGTATTGTAAACATGAAGAGTTTTATTATTTATTTTTCTCTACTTGAAATTTTTTGCAAAAACTGTTTTTCCTCAATACATTAGGGATTTGTTATTCATTATATTCAAAAATACTATCCATAATATTACCTCTATAGTAAGATTATGGTAATATAATTTTGGAAGTCTGAAAGCAGTTTCCCCTTCCTCCACCTTTATGTTTCACAGATACTTTCTCCACCACCATTTTAAAAAACTTTGGACTTTGGATATCTCTTATCAAACCATTATCGAGGTTGCAGTTCTTCCTCTTATCTCTCAACATTATTCTTACAATCCATTAATTCAATATACAGTTCTGGGCATCTAAACATCTGCATGAAATTGGAAAATCCTCAGTTTAGGTCACTAATTTCTACATTGATTCAACTTGGATATGCTAATAATTCAGAGGACTAGAGGCAGGTTCTAAATTTAGCTGCAGCAAGATTTGTTACTTCAAAGCCAAACAAACCAGGGTCAAAAATATAACTCATAAATATATTAAATTACATAAAAGCACATATATTTCTTACCTGTAACCTGTGCTATTTCTCCCCACTACCAAGTGTTTTGGCTGACTGCCACATACATAAATGTTGAAGTCGTTCTCTGGCACCAAATCCACATCATGGAAAATAAAACAACCCCAGTTCTCTTCTTTCAGTGCTTCCAGGTATCCCACATTTAGAAGTTTTGCTCTGTTAAACTTGGCATTGCCAGCCTATAAACAATAAATATACACTAGTTTATTCTATCCACATCAAGCACTCTCACAATGTCCTTCAAAAGTCAATGCAATCAACACCCTGGCAAGGGTATAAAACCAAGACCTCTTATTTCTTCTGATTGCCTCGAACAAGAGCCAAGGCAGCTGGGCCGACTTCTATTTGACTCTTCCTCTCAAGTCTGCCAGAATATGTCCTTCAATCTGAGGTTGCAATGATTTAGTCAGATTGATCCTGATCCTGTTGCTCTTTTGTAAAGCCTTGAAGACATCACCAGGCATGAGGGTTGGAACATGTAGCATATAGTCCACGGCGTGGCTATGTAAATGGGGGGTTGTGGTTTTATATTGTTGACCAATTATACAGTATTATTATTTTTTTGGCTTTCGACTGCAGTTAGCTGCTGACAATCATCATGAAGAGATGGTGACCATATAAATCAAGGGTATCAAATTCAAGGAGCAGGGGCCAGATCTGGCCCGGCCCACATGCAGCCCTTCCAAGCTCCGTTTTGACTGGCAGAGGGTTGCATGAGGCTGTCGCAGCTGAAACAGTGCTTGGGTGACCATTTTTGCTGGCAGAGTGCTTGAACCACCATAGGGCCTCCCGACACGCGTGACATCGAGCTGGCCATGCCAATCCTGGTCACGCTCACCGAGGTCAAACACAACCCTGATGCACACCACATATGGTGATGAGAAATCAGATGTTCTAACTCTGGATTTTACTTTAAAGCATTTTTGAAACTGAACTAACAGCTCTTTGTTAATGAGAGATAACAGCCTCCAACAGCAACACATTAGCCATAAATACATTAATGAATAAATGTACAGCTTTATTGCTTCTCAGGCTGTAATGCCTTTGCTTTCATAGAATTAAAGACTGAGAACTTTTATTCAAGAAGAAAAAAGTCTCAGTCTTTAAAAAAAAAGTGAGCACAAGAAGTGATAGCTATAGCTTAAAAAGAAGTCAGATACGAAACCATGAGCAGGATGCAAACGGGCAATGAAGATAATATATATTTCAGGACCTGCAGTTAGAAAACAATAATACTCTACCAATGGTGCATAAACTTAATTTGCCACCTACTCTGTTTAATGTGTTTAATCTGCTTTAAGCTCTTAAAGCAAAAGACAAAATAAACTTAATACGGACACATACAAAGACATTTCAGGGCTGGTGACACTCTGGGTTGGTTTTGTAAATGGAGCTATAGAAATAATATTTTGACTTCCCAGAACCAATACATTACTAGTTAACTAAAAAAAAAAGTACACAGTTAAAAACAATAAGCAAAGGGCACCCAAAAATATCTCAGGGCATTAGTAGTACTCAGTTCTTGATTGAACAAACAGGGTCAGACCTAGTTAGTATTGGATGGGAGATCACCAGAAATAACCTCAGGTTAGTCTGGAAAGTCAAATAATGAAAAAATTAAATTACATTTTAAAAACCCATCACCAAAGAACGCAAACCATTTCCATACTATTGCCAAACAAACTGCCTGGACATGTCCATGAAGTCACCAGAAGTTACTCGATTTGAGGGAGACTTTTGCTTTTCTCAGTCTACTCTATATGGACTCACCTGGTGGATGACATAAAGGCCATAATCCAGCTGCTGTCTCTGCAAGAATGGATGAAGATTCTCCAACAGGTACAGCAGATGCTTCTCTCGATTGCGGTGTGGAATCAATATAGCCACCCGTTGCTGAGCTGTGCAATCTTTTGGCCTGTGGCGCCCTTTGGCTACCGAAGGATTCTCTTTTTGCAGCTCTTCCAGAGTGAGGGAAGCTCTGAAAGTCAGCTTGCTGGGGCCTCCTATAGGAAAAGGCAAGTCTGGTGTTCACAATTCTCACTACAGTAAACTTCAGAGCCCCTGACTGGGGATGATAGAACCACAGACTGTAAGGAGTGGGGAAGGGCTGGAGATCTTTTACTCTGATACTTTGCCGAATACTACTATCTGACAACTGGCTATTGAACCTCTGTCTAAACTTCTCCTGTGAAGGAAAGGTCGTTTGTTGCACTGTCGATCAGCTCCTGTGGTTATAGAATCATAAAAAGGATAAGGAAGAGGTCTGCCGTTCCCAGTTTTTTGAAATTCAGCTCCATTACAGTAAATGTAGGGATGGGATGCTACTGGTTCTGCTCAGCTCTATAGAACCGGTGGCTCTGAAGAGCAGCAGACATCAAACTGGTTCTGTGTTTGCTGCTGTTTGGCCCGCCTGCCCGCCCTGGCTCTTACCTGAACTTTATTTCCTGCTTTTTCAGCCTCAGTTGCTTTGCGCAGCACAGCTGAGGTTGAAAAAGCAGGGGAAAAGGGTGTTTTCAAACGCTGCGCACCTGTGTGCAGCGCTTATCAGCTGTCCGGGAGGCACAGCTTTCATTGTATTACATGCATGTACAGCGTATATGTAAGCACCGAACTGGTAATAACACTGGTTGAATCCCACCCCTGAGTAAATGCCATATAAACAATTGGCACTGCTGGTAAGCTATCCACGATTTTGCTGGGGACAGAATGGGGGAGGTAATGATTGGCTTTACATTTTTGCCAGAACTTGACTTCTTGGGTGCACAGTTTGCTAAGTAAATCATAGCACCATGGCTAATGGGTAGTGCTAAAAATATAAAACATGGTTTGCAAACCATAAATACTGAATTTACTGTAACACATGTCATTGTTTAAGTTGACCCATTGCACTGAACTTCAATCTTCTTTGTGCAATATCTTGCCCACTGCAGTCTTTTAAGAGTGAATGTCCTTCAATGGTTAAGGTACCCAACTTAGATCAGGAAGATGGGGTTTCGTCTTCTCATTTGACCATAAAGCACACTGACTTTAAGCCATTTCCACTCACTGAACTCACAGGGTTGTTTTTGAGAGGATAAATTATGAAAGATTTATGCACCGGGTTTTAGGGTCTTGGAATAAAGGTAAGCTGTAAATGGAAACTAACCACAGGCTCCCCAGTCAAGTGGAAGATGGACCACAGAGGCTTTTGCTCAGATACAGAGTGTGTGTCAATTAAAACTCCAGTTGGCCAACAATATTCTGGCAATAGTAACTCATACGATGATCATCATTTTGCTCAGCTGCTGCAACAGTGTATGTGAGTCAAGCAGCAAAAAATATAGCAGCCAGACTACTGGAAGAATGAGCAACACACATGTAACAGGCTAATGGTGATACTGCTACATACTTTGGTAAATGATTCCTGCGGGGTATTTGGCCCTGTTCCTTTTTGCATTTCACTAGCTGTTTAAATCTGGATTTTCCAACGGCTATGGATGCCATTCACATGCCTTTTTATGATTGAATTGTACTATTTTTATTGTTGCTGTATTTATGTCAATATGCTTTGTGGTTCATTGTCCTGAATCTTTCAGGATTGAGAAAGGCTACAAACATTGCTAAATAAATAAATAACTACAATATGATGTCCCACCCTATGTTCTTGGGGCTTTGGCTTCTTAATTCATACTATTATACTTAAAATAGGGCATACATTTAATTCCACACTAGCATTTTATGATTCAAATCCAAAAGAAAGAACTGCAAAAGCAACGGAATATGTGATGTTTACAATTTTTCATTAAAGCTGTATCCATACTTTGCTAAATTAGAATAGTAGTTGCTTTTTGATGAATCCCATCAATGGATTTTATTATTTGATATTATGTAGGATGTCCATTTGGAAGCTAACACATTGAAATAAATATTTTAAAAAAATATTTTTAGATTATGGAGGAAATATTGGAATTTCCTGACATTTTACAGGAAGTAATACAAATATTTTAAAAAATCTTATTATTTTGGGTCACATTAATGATGAAATTTAAGATCCAACAATAGCAGTTTTGCTATATGACCCAAGTATTTAAATAATCCTTAAAAACAGACCTGGGTGTTTTTCAATCCATCGGCAGACCCAGTCCAACTAGTGGTGTCATTGGCTTTGGGGACATGACATCGACATTTGGGCGGGGGAAGGCATCAGTATGGTAGCAGGGAAAGTGGCAGTGGGGTGGGGGGGTAGTGGTGGCCCTCCACAAAACTCCCAGTTTTTTATGTGACCCCCTTCAGAAAATTAATTGCCCACCTCTGCTTAAGAGACTTTCTATCAGACACAGGAATATATTACTAGAAGACAGAAGATGACTAATCTGTTCAACAGAACAATTTTGGGATTTAGCATTTTCATCATAAAGACTAAACTTGGGGGGGGGGGATTAGCTCAAGGCCTTAACTTCCCCCCTTCTTCCCCCAGAAAGAATAAAATGTGAATTGACTTACGTAGATAAGGAGACAGAGAAGGACAGGGGGGTATTGCTGTGGGTAGTTTCTTGATAAGGATGGCCTTTGAATTCTCCTTTTGTTCCTCCTTAATAGTGGTTGGCTTCCTGAAACTTTCAACCATGCCTTTTTCTGCTGGAGTTTCATGTAAAATATCCACCCGGTAAGTAGAGGTAGCCCAGCCTATCAATAAGATGCAGAGGGTAATGAGCATCAATAGCTTGAGTTTGTAGGAGAAATGAAAGTTGGCAGGCCAAAAGCCCATGGCCCTTCATAGATTAGAAGCTTCTCTTTGGATACTTTTCTTGATGGAGTCCTGCTACAATGCAGGAAAGCAGGAAAATCAAATTAAAGAAAGATGTTGTATGATTTGCATTGTGTCACATTTCTTCTGGCTTTTGAACACATAAGATTCTAACCAAATAAGCAGTGGAAGTAAACTTCAAATGGAACGACCTGTACAGAATGAGACAGAAATAAAAGAAAAGGTTATAATGCAAAAAGCTTTGGGGTCCGCCACACACAAAATTAAAAGCAGAAATGGGTGCAAAATGTAATAACCTCTTCTGCAAAACAGACACATGTCAGAATAATGTTCCTTCTTATTCTAAATTTTCTTAGTTCATAGGTACAATATAGCATTCCTGAATCACTCATAAAAAGTTACAATTTACAAGAAGATGGAAAAAAAGAAAAGTATTTAGACTCTAGCTTCATGCATCAATTTATCCTAAAAAATAGTAATACATTTACCATAAAACATTGAATAAAACTAATTGTTTTTATTGTGTATGTATTTAATTCTAACATTTTGTCTCTTATATTTATTGGCTCTATGTTTTGTCAATAACTCCTTGTTTTTGCAATTTGAACCTTTATGCTCCAATTGCTCCTAAAAAGGAGCAGAAAATCCTGATGGTTTGCAAACTTTATATTTTCTTTTACATTTTTCAAAGGACCAACTTTCTGAGATGCAGTCTGAATGATCTGAACAATTCTATATTTTATTACTCTTTTGTCACTGAAAGGTAAAATGCATGTGACCAGGGGCAGGCTTCAAATTTCTTAACAACTGGTTCTGTGGCTGTGGCCTAATTTGTGGGTGTGGTTTAGTGGTCATGTGACTGGCTGGGCATGGCTTGTATGTAAATATTATTTTTATGTAAATATTGAATTTTTTATTAAAAAAGAGCAACTTTTACCGAAAATCAAGCAAAGCAGGCAGGCAGATTGAGTTGTTCACAGAATCACAGATTCACTTAGAGATCTATGATTTTGCAATCTACTACCTGAGTCTGCACTGAAAAATAGAAGCTTCAGTCCTAGAAGGTTCAGCTCTACTTTTAGATTAGCTAGAAAGCAGGAAATCTAACGATTTCCTGCTTTCTAGCTAATCTAAATCTCCTGGTACAGCAGAACATCTGATGTCGGGGGGGGGGGGGAATAGCAACTTACCAAAGGCAGGTAAGTTTGATGGTGCTCATGCCAGGTAAGGAGTGAGTGAGTGGGGAGGGGAGGGGAGGAGCCAGCCAGTAGCGTGATTTGCCGATTCTCCGAACTGGGAAGAATCATAACAACTGGCTCTATAGAACCAGTCTGACCAGGTAAAATCTCACCCCCGCATGTGACTATCTAAAAAGGGATTCTATCTTCTCCTTTCCTTTTTTAAATAAAATCAATAATGAAGTAGCACTATATAATTTCTTTTAATTTTTTAAAAAATGTATCAGGAAACAACACAGCACACCTAAATCCCATGTCTCTGTCACATCTGTATTAGCAGAAAGACTATCAGGTGAGATATTTCCTTGAAAGCAAGTGATACACTGAGAATTACCATTCCCTACAGCAGGAAGTTCTTGAAGATAAGCAACAGAATCAAGGACTCTCCAACCATCCACTATGGCAGGATATGCATCTGGGATATGCAGACCCAGAGGACTTCTGGAAAATTAGTATTGAGTTCTCTTAACTTCTGGAAAATTAGTATTGAGTTCTCTTAACTTTCCCCCTATGGATTTAGTCCTGTTGTTACATATTTAGAGTCTGATTTCAACTTAAAAATCTTGCAATGTTCCTATATTTTACAATAAAATGGTCTGTAAACTGCATGATTAGAAAAGTCAGATTTGTAAGCAATACAAACTATACTGTTATAAAAAAAATATCAATAGGAAACAGACAGCAACACAAACAAAAATTCTTACTTTAAGATGAATAGATATAAAAGATATAATAGCAGTAATACACTTACATTAATAAGCCATTGCAATGGGGTCCAATGACATATAGCAGGTCCTGCAAGGACTACCATAAATCAAAGGGCCCCAAGCTGAACTTCAACTCTATCCTTTATACTTTACTTCTAACCACATACACGCTTCACAACTTCACTGTCACTTTCCTTAAAGACCTGTGTACATCACTTTGAGTTCCTCATTTCCAACAGTTTCATTCTTCCTGTTTTAAACTTATCCATCCAAGTACTTTGCAAAAATATGTTTTCACAGTTAGCAACGGCTCAGCAGGATTATAAATAGTTCTGGTATATTTTGAAAACATCCTAGCTGAAAACTTTAGTTCATGTCTCTTTCTACTGGGGCCTGCTATCATCTACAGGACTTATTGAATCTAATAGATCAATAAGCTATATCCTTGATTCTCACAATATCTTCAGCTGAAAAACAGGTATTTTAACTGGTATACAAAGCAAAGATAGTTTCCAAATATTATTTACTGGGCTCCTGTTCAAAAACTCTGGTTTTTAATTTCAAGCACCTTGGTTTTTGGCCAACTCTTCAAATTACTGCCATTTCTATCATCATAGCCGCACTGCTATATTCTGCCAAACTGAAGCAAAAGATCTGTGAAACAAAGCTTCAAAGCTTTCATTGTATTTCCTCAAAAGCAATGTTTAAGCTTTAAAACAGCAGGTACCATCATTGCTTTCTACATATAAAAGTGAGGTCTGATTGATACAATGTGATGCAGTACACATTAATCAGATTCCTGTTTTAATGTATATTTAAAAATAAAGCTGCATTAACCCATTCTAGATTTCCAAGATCTAAAAATTGGTATAGATTTGCAATATAGGCAATCCTCACTTAATAACCATTTGTTTAGGGACCATTCAAAGCTATGACTGTGCAGAACAAACCATAGTTCAGGAAGGTCATGTGTGGTCAACAGTTGCCTAATATAGGACCAGTTGGGCACTTCATCAGCAGGAAGCGGACAAAGATAGCAGGGGTCAGCTAAGGGGAAGCAGGAAGTGATAAGGGCAGTGGGAGTGCAGGGTGGCCAAAAAGGCAAAGAGATGGCAGGAGGTTGTGGGTGAGGGGAGTTGAAGTAGAGGCAATAAGTAGAGTGTAGGAGAAGTGTGAAGTTCTGGCCTCATGACCGCAACCAGGATTAGAAAACTGTTGTCATTAAGTGGTACAGTCATATGGTTTCTCATAACCACTAAAGAGTCATCAAACTATATGTACCAACAACTACTCCCAAAACAAAACCAAAAACCAAATTGCCCATAACAATAAGGAAACTTCAATCCAAAAAGAGATCACTCTGGCGGAAAAACAAATCTGGTCACGTTGCCAATTTCAAAAGCCGATACAAAAATTTATGCCACCAAATAAAGACCGAATGCACCAATTATCACATTAAACAAGAGGAAAACCTTCTAAGCACCAATTCCACCAATGCTTTTTACAATTTTGTAAACAACAAACTAAAAGATTCAAGGTCCATCCCACCCCTGATAGGACCTAATGGTAAAGACTGCAACGACGACACCATTAAAGCCAACATCTTTAACACATTTTTTGGCTCAGTATTTGTAAACAGCAATGGATCATGCCCAGCATTTCCTAGCCGAACCACAGATAACTACAGTGATCTAATACATATCGATTTTACAGAAGACAATGTTGAAAAAGCACTACGCAATCTAAAACCATCCCTATCTATTGGACCGGATGGAATATGTGTCTATTTCTTAAAAAAGTTATCCACTGCCATAGCCAAACCTCTAAGCATAATCTTTGAAAAATCTTTCAGGACCAGTTCCTTGCCTAACCTATGGTCACAAGCCACAGTCATCCCCATCTTCAAAAAGGGAGACCCTTGCCTAGTTGAAAATTACAGACCAATCTCCTTATGCTGCGTCACCTGTAAAGTCATGGAATCAATTATTAACCAATCCATCATCCTCCACTTAGAGACAAACAACCTACTCTCCAATAAACAATTTGGTTTCAGAAAAAAACTATCCTGTAATCTGCAACTCTTACACTGCAAAAACATATGGACTACACAACTTGATCAGGGCAAAACAATAGATGCAATCTACATAGACTTCTGTAAAGCCTTTGATTCAGTGGTACATGACAAACTACTACTAAAAATAAAATCCTATGGTATCTCTGGACAACTGAATAACTGGATAGAAGCATTTTTGTCAAACAGACAACAAATGGTCAAAATTGGGAGTGTCCTATCAAATTCTGTACCTGTCAATAGTGGTGTCCCCCAAGGCAGTGTTCTAGGACCAACTCTCTTCATACTCTACATAAATGACCTCTGTGATCATATTAAGAGCAACTGCGTTCTTTTCGCTGATGATGTAAAGCTGTTCAATACCACAGACAATACTGCTACCCTTCAAAAAGATCTTGACTGTGTATCAGAATGGTCAAACAAATGGCAACTTCAAATCTCAACAAATAAATGCTGTGTCTTACATATTGGCAAAAAAAATCCGAAAATAAAATACAAGCTGAATAGTCAAGATCTTGTTGATGATCCAAGCTCTGTAAAGGACCTTGGAATACTCACCTCTAATGATCTAAGTGCTAGTGCCCACTGCAACTACATAGCCAAAAAGGCATTAAGAGTTGTTAACCTAATCTTACGTAGCTTTTTCTCTGGTAATATCACACTACTAACTAGAGCATACAAAACATTTGCTAGACCAATACTCGAATACAGCTCATCAGTCTGGAACCCACATTACGTATCTGATATTAGCACAATTGAGAAAGTCCAGAAATATTTCACAAGAAGAGTTCTCCACTCCTCTACTCGTTGTAGAATACCTTATGCCACCAGACTTGAAATTCTAGAACTAGAAAACCTTGAATTACGCCGTCTTCGGTCTGATTTAAGCATGGTATATAAAATCATACATTGCAATGTCCTACCTGTCAATGAATACTTCAGCTTCAACCATAACAACACAAGAGCACACAACAGATACAAACTCAAGGTTAACCGCACCAAGCTTGATTGCAGGAAATACGACTTTAGCAACAGAGTGGTCAATGTCTGGAATACTCTACCTGACTCTGTAGTTTCTTCCCCAAACCCCAAAAACTTTAACCTTAGACTGTCTACTATTGACCTCACCCCTTTCCTAAGAGGTCTCTAGGGGGCGTGCATAAGCGCACCAACGTGCCTACCGTCCCTGTCCTATTGTTTCTTTTATTTTTCTTTTATTTTTCTTATATGTACTCATTCCATGTATTCATAATTATGTATACACTTTTACTTATCTCGTAAACAATTGACAAATAAATAAAATAAAATAAAAATAAATAACAACTATTTAGCAATTGAAAATCCGGTTCAATTGGGGTTATTAAAGATGGGCTCCCAGGATAATCAAGTAACATAACTTTTGCTTCTTTTATCAGTTAGTGACTCTTGCAGGTATTGCTCCATCAAGTACCAACAAGATAGTCAGAGAAATGCAATACTGAAAGGGCAGAAATGGGCTCCTTAAAGCCACATACAAAAAGTAAAAGGCTTGCAACTGCCAATTTCACAATTCAGTCTTGGGAACAAGAAGGTATGAAAAAGGTGCAAAGCCAGACTAAATGCACACATACTAACTGTAACTTGAATGACAAATAGATAGGAAAACTGTACAGCTTTGAGGAACACAGCATTTCTTCTTAATAGCAGATAAGTAGGAAAAAAAGAAGGTACTTCAGAATTACCACATGTGCAACTGAAAAATATGGGAAAGCACAAAACTTAATTAATTCCATTGACACATAGCTTCTATTGAGGTCAGAATTGCTGAGTTTTCAGGGTTTCCGCTCAGGTTTGTTTCTCAAATACTCATCAATTGTCAAAAGCTGTTGAATATGCAGTAACACAAGTTCTAGTGACTGTTTGGGTAAACCAGTTTTTTTCCCAACTTACTGGCCTTTACATTTGTTGGGTTTCACTTCCTGCATTACGAATCAGGATGGTCAAGGCAATATTACTAAAAAAAAACAAGTGGGGGAAAGCTTTATTATACAGTTTACATAATAAATATCTCTCTAAGGTTAACAGGTAATTAAATGAATGCGCATTTTTCCAGGGAAATGTAAAATGTGCAAAGTTTAAGATATAAGAACCTTAGATTTCATGGGAGAACAGGGAAAAAACAGTACATTACTTTGAACATACTGGCTATAATGAAAATCTAAATAATCATTAATTTATGTTAAAGTTATTTAATTGTTCATGATAATTAATTGCTCTTTCAGTTCCCTGTGATTATCTTCCCGATTATGTGCAATGTGTAACTTTGACTATAAAACCATAAATATAACTTAGGGAAATGAAATTAATTCATTTCACAATCAAGTTAAATAAGCCTTAGAGTGAGAAAGATGCACAGTACTGCTGGATCAGCGTTAAGAGAAATAAATTTTGCAGTGCAAGTAATTAAGAAATTTCTCAGCATTGACCATAATGTATGCGTAAGTGGGCACAAGCACACGCTGAAAAACATAACAGAAAAAAGTGAGGATCTATATGAGCTTGATAACATAAGCTTGCCATTTGCTTCCCTGACACTTAACGGCATGCTTTAGCATTTAAAAGTCAGTAAATAATGGGTTTTTTTAAAGCAGGAGAGCTCTGGAGACATAAGCTAATACAAGATAAACTGGAAGAATTATTTTTTAGAGTAGATATTCTCTGAAGTAGCCATTTATTTCTCAATATTCAGAACATCATCTTGACTGCTTCTGCCAAGATCATCTCTGTCTCCTGAAACCTATCACAGGACATCTGAAAACAAAATCAGAAAAATCTGACAAAGTTTATTAATATAGGAAATCTACTTGTCAGAAAAGGTACGACCAGATTCCTGGGGTGGGGTTTTTTTTTGTTTTGTTTTTTGGCCATCATCAACTAATATAATTCTCCCTCTAGAAGAAAGCATAGTTAGTATTAGGAGTGGCACTGAAAGTTGTTTCAATTGATTATCAAAGACACTGGAGCAGCAAAGGCTGCACAGTATATTCACTACGTATCAAGTCATAGTACAACTGTAATATGAACCACCAGTTGGAAATTATGGAGACTGAAGACTGAATCTTTGAGCAGAGAAGGTTACTTTATACTACAAGTAAAAAGGAACAGAGAGTTGGTATGTTTAGAAAAAGATTAGCTGAAAATGTCCAAAAAGCTAGCCTAGGGCTGAAAAAAATAAGAGTCCTAGAAAATTCAAGCAAGCATCCATTCACCTTGCCCCAATCTGAATTCAGATCAAGATTGTAACTTGCTCTCATTATCTTCTTGTTTCAGCCAAGAGGAAGGAAAGAACTTACCCCGGTCTTTCCACTAACTGTTCCTTCTCTTTTTATGAAGTTTTTTCCCCCCCTTAATAGCAGTTAAAATAACTTTGGGTCAGGGAAGTTTTAAATCAAAAAATCTCACACCAGAAAGGATTGTCTGTTGAGTCTCACAGGTTCAGAACTAGGTTTGTTTAAAAATGCAGGAATCCCTAAATAAAAAAAGACAGCAATAGTTTTGTCTTCTGTCTAGCTTTTGTATTCTGTTAGTGT